GTGTTTCTCATTGGCTGAGCTGCAGAGGCTTCTCATTGGCTGAGCTGGGGTGTTTCTCATTGGCTGAGCTGCAGAGGCTTCTCATTGGCTGAGTTGCAGTGTGTCTGGTTGGCTGGGCTGTTGCTGGGTGGGAGAGAAATCTTCCTTCAGTAGTAAAGTAGCTGTACTTCTTGTCAGAGAAGCAAGGAATGATAGGGCACGAGAGCTCCCCCTGCAGGGGGAGAGCTTCCCCGCTCCAACTTAGTTAAGGTTTCTTTTATTAATTTCCACGTATGTAAAATATACCTCAATAAAGTTGTTTTTTATTTTTAAAATGCTGTGGACCTTTCTGGCCCAGCTAAAATGAGAAATCTGTAAACAAAGTTATAAGATGTTAGCGCTGAAAGAAGTTAAGGCAGAGGCTTACGGACAGGGAAGCAAAACCTGGATTGGCTCACGGTGCCCACTAGGTCTCAGGTTCCAGCGCCTGCAGGCCAGCTCTGGCCAAGCCTGTCCCTCCTACTGCAGGGGCAGCGCAGGCCTCGGGGGATGCAAGGCTGGGATGATGGACCTGCTTGCTCTGTCTGTGGTGTGTCTCATCCCCTGTGAAGTGCAGTGTGAGAACAGCACTGAGTAGTGAGCCCACAACGCGGGGCCACTGCCATCCCCTTCAAGGTGATGCTCAAGGGCGAGGCCCCCCCGCTGGCATGATGCTCGAGGGCAAGGCCCCCCTCCTCTGGGGTGGTGCACGAGGGCGAGGCCCCCCTCCTCTGGGGTGATGCACAAGGGTGAGTTACCCCTCCTCTGGGGTGATGCACAAGGGCGAGGTACCCCTCCTCTGGGGTGGTGCCCAAGGGCGAGGCCCTCCTCCTCTGGGGTGATGCATGAGGGCGAGGCTCCCCTCCTCTGGGGTGGTGCACGAGGGCGAGCTCCCCCCTCCTCTGGGGTGGTGCCTGAGGGCAAGGCCCTCCTCGTCTGGGGTGACGCACAAGGGCGAGGCCCCCCACCTCTGGGATGGTGCACGAGAGCAAGGCCCCCCTCCTCTTGGGTGATGCTCGAGGGTTAGGTACCCCCTTCTCTGGGGTGATGCAGGAGTGTAAGCCCCCTTTCCTGGTGTGATGTATGAGGGCGAGGACCCCCCCACTCTCACTATGATAATGCTTGCCCCTCGGATGCTTTCACCCCCCATGGATATATTTTACAACAGTCTTTGGGAAATCTGTATTAGAAAATAAATTAGGATGACATCATTCAGTATAAAAATGTTTCCTGGGGCCGGCCCGGTAGCGTAGTGGTTAACTACGTTCACTCCGCTTCAGCAGCCCAGGGTTCGCAGTTTTGGATCCTGGGCGCGCACCGACGCACTGCTTGTCAAACCATGCTGTAACAGCGTCCCATATAAAGTGGAGGAGGATGGGCACAGATGTTAGCCCAGGGCCAATCTTCCTCAGCAAAAATGAGGAGGATTGGCATCCGATGTTAGCTCAGGGTTGATCTTCCTCACAAAAACAAATAAATAAAGAAAAGAAAATAAATAAGATGTTTATCCCTGAGGTGTCTTAGGTAGTGAGCACTCTTGCGGAAACTGAAATATTCCATTTTTACATGTTTATTTATGCCCTACTTCTTAGGAACACGCCTGTCCTGTATGGTGTGGCACTCTTACATTTCACACCAGAAATGGGACAAGTTCTCATGGAACCCCACTATTTTCTCACATGATTTTCTCCTTGCATTTGTGGCAAGCTGAGCAGCCACCTCTAAACCAGAGGAATACTTCATCTTTGACCTTTCTGTTGTCCAGCCAGTGTATACACCAATGGCAGCAGCTTCCAGGGACAAGATGTGCTTGCTGAGCTGCTGTGCACCGAGGGTGAAGGACGGCTGCCTGGCATAGGAGACTCGCCCAACCGGGTGCCTGGGCAGGTGCTGGAAATCAACCAGGAGCTGCTGCAGTCCGGGGTCGTCACCCTCCCAGGTGAGCATGGCTGTCTTGCTCTGTTCTGGCTGCTATAACAAAATACCACAGACGGGGTAGCTTATAAACAACAGAAACTTATTTCCCACAGTTCTGGAGGCTGGACGTCCAAGATCAAGGTGCTGGCAAGGTTGGGTTTTGGTGAGGGCCCACTTCCTGGTTCATAGTTGGCACTTTCTCCCTGTGTCCTTAGGTGGTAGAAAGGGCAAGGGAGCTCTGTGGGGTCTCTTTTATAAAGGCACTAATCCCACTCATGATGGCTCCACCCTCATGACCTAAACACCTGCCAAAGGCCCCACCTCCTAATACCATCAAATCAGACATTAGGATTTCAACTATGATTTTGAGGGGAACACAAACATTCAGACCTTATCAATGGCCATCACCTGCCAGGTGAGCAGCAGGCTCTCCTCTCCTGGAAAATCTCACATCTAGGCCATCAGTTTGCAGACCCTAGCTTGGTATTTCTCAAGCTTGAAGCCACATGTGTCCCCATTGGGGCAGCCCCCTTTCACACTCCCTCTGTTTCTGCAGGGACCCGAGACCGCCAGGGAAGAGCAGTGGCACAGGTCTGCCTGAGGGGCCCACTGTGGTCCAGCAAACACACCTCCAGTGCCGAGCTGATCTGCCTGCTGAAGTACCTCCATGGCATCCCCAGGTGGGACTGAGCCAGGTTCCCACCTTTCAGACCCCTTTGGGGATAAACCCCGGTGAGCGTGTGTCCTTACATGGGGCTTTCCATCTGTAACTTCAGGAGGCCCCTGGTAACGTGGGCAGCAGACTCCCACCTGCCCCTTGGGCTTTTGCTGTCTGGCCCCTCAATGCTGCCAGCCTCATGTGACACCTCTCCCCTCTTTCCCAGATCCTCGGCTGTCCCCCACACACTGCTCCCCTCCCACTCAGCCTCACCTCTCCCCTCTGAATCAAGGCTCTGCCACGTACTATAGCCCTGAATTCTGTGCTGCTCTGCATTGTTCAATACTTGCTCTAAGCATTCTTTATCTACATGTTTTATACTCCACCTCTTTCTAAAAAAGATTTGAAGTGGCCCTGGATAAAGACATGAACTGACATAAACAGAATATTTAGAACGAACTGGTGAACAAATCATACAAATGAGTGGTACCTGGAACCAGGAACCAGGGAAGACCGACTCGTGCTAAGCCTTATGTTCAGCCAGGCGGTGCCACATGCCAGGAAGAAAGAAAGCATGCCAGCTCCTCAAGAGAGCTGGCACATCTTTCCTGTTATGGAATTCTAGGAGGACCACGCCTCCTCAATCCTGCATAAGGACAATGGTGTGGAGCAGGTCTGATCAGGAAGCAGATGTGGCCTTCTCCAGGGCTGTGGTTTTGGGTGTCTCTGTGGACCAAGGACGGAGATGAGAAAGCCAGAGTCAAGGATGGTTAAAGTGCGTTATTTAGGGCCCCTCAGTCCCATCAGATGCAGACACACTTTGGACGGCTCTCATGGCCACCAGACCAAGAGTCCCCCACGGTGCTGGGTGGATGGAGCTCCCAGGGGAGGCAACATCACCCAACGGACAAGCTCAGTCCTCAGGTGTAGGCAGTAAAACTAGTGCCCTGCAGAGGACTGGGAACCTCACTCTGGGAAAGGAGTTAGGGAGAATACTTTAATTCTTTTTCTGCCTAAATGTTCCTGCAGTGATTCTACGTATCCAGAGTGAGATTCCCTGTCCTCTGCAGGGCACTAGTTTTACTGCCTTCGGATGAGCCTGGGATTTCAAACTTATCCTTCAGCACAGAATTCAAAATATAATGAAACTACTCTGAAAAAAAGTAGGGATTCATCCCCATATTAGTTTATACCTTGTAAACCTCAGTTAAACACCTTCAAAGCCCTAGGATAATGATATTTTCTATTTAGCAAAAGCTTTCTTCTACGGGAGCCTCCAGAATTAGTTCGGGCAGTGATAGAGAGTGACCCTGATTGACAAGGGCGATCGCCTCCTACGCTTTTTGGAGTGTACGCCTTTCCACACGCTTAGCCTCGTTCAGCTGGCGAGCTGTGTGCTGTGTTCTCCATTTGCAATAAAACGCCTGAGAGGAGAGGGTTAGGTGACTTGTGGGGTCGTCAGGGCCAGGAGTTGAGCCTGGATCGTCAGCCCCTTCTGCTTGTTCAGCTCTGCCACAGCAAATTCAGACAGCCCAACTCTCCTCACCAGAGACGGCATCTTCCCCAGCTCACGAAGCTCTGGGAGAAAGCCAGAGTTCCTAAAGCACTTAGGGGAATGCACTCTGGAGCCTCATGGTCTGGCTGATTATTTCCCCACCAGCATTGTAATTTTCTTAGCATCTGATTGACTGTTGCACCTTGAGAAGTGAAAATCTGCCCACCCTGTGGGATGTGACACATGCCTTCAGATGTTGGAATGAGGTACCTGAGATGTCAGCATTGTTAGGAAAAGCGTCCAGCAGTGTCTTGTTATCAGTTACTGCAGGTGTGTTACAAGGAGCCAGGTATTCCTGTGAGTGTGCCTTGTACGTGGACTACCATCCAACTCTTAGATATACAGAATCTCAAAATTAGAAAGGATCTTGGCTGTCATCCATTCAACCTCCTGTGCAATGCAGGAATCCATCCACCCACCCACCTTCTTACCCGTCCACCATCCATCCAGCCAACATCATTCAACCACCCATCCATCCATCTATCCATCCATCTGTGCCTCTATCCATCCACCATCCATCAATCCACACACCCACCCATCCATTACTCCATCCATCCATCCATCCACCTATCCATCCATCTATCCAACACTTACCTGAGAACACAAAAGAGAACAGCATATGGTTCCTGCCCTCAAGGAGACATATATGTGAACCCAAATCATCGCTGCTCCTAGCATAAAACAAGTCCACAGTGCTGGAAAGGAGCTGAGTCTCAGCCGGGACAGTGACTTCCCGCCCGTGCTCTGTGTCCTGGAGGAGGGTGAATGTTTGCAGACAGGAAGAGAAGGACTTTCTAGGTAGAAAGAAGAGCACACGCAAAGCCCCAGAGCAGTCGCTCACTTTCTGAGTCCAGAGGGGGCCCTGACAACAGGCAGGAGAGTGAGGACGAGAGACACTGTGAAGGCAGTGGGTCCCCTGGGCCAGAACACCACACTGACCTCAGGGGATGGAGAGGTCAGTGTGGTGGCAGGAAGATAGAAGAGAGGATTCCACAGACATGCAGACCTGGGATGCCAAGGGCAGGTCTGCACAGTGGCCTGGTGTGGACCAGGGACCCCGAGGGTGCCAGATTGGGGGAGCTTGGAGGCTGCCTGCACACAGGAGTGAGGCAGGAAGCAGAGGAGTTACGTGAGCAGCTCCATCCCTCACAGGCAGTAGTGGAAGGAAGCAAGTTTGTTCTGGGGGTTCTGGCTGAGTAGCCTGAGGCATCATAAGCCGCTCCAGACAGGAGCACGTGTCTCCCTTCCAATCCTGTGCCCACATGAATGCAGGAATGAATGACTGGATCCCTCTCAGCCTGCCCAGGACCAGGGTCCAGCAGCATCTGAACTCTGGACACAGTCCCCAGGAAGGGCTGGGTTGTTCACTCAGCAGCTGTCCCCTTCAGCAAAGCTGCCAAGTGGAGGAGATTGAGGAGGGGAACATGTGGGTCTGGACAACGGCCGCCTCCAGGGCTCACTTCCTGCGCCAAGACAAGCCCATATGGCAGCGAGACCAGGTCCGGCCTCTGAGGCTGCTGGCCGGAAGCATACCCTGAGACACAGGTCCAGGGGCCTCAGTAGACTTCATGGGTGAAGACAAACCCCGTGGGGAAGGGCGTCCGGGAAGGGAGGCCCACGATCCAGCCATCCTCACTGGAGGCCACCGGGCCTGATCTCCAGGAAGCACCGGCACCAGGGAGGACACAGGACCCTCTGGGGAGGTGGGGTGCCGTGCCCGGCTCCTGACAGCACCACCCAGGACTGCTCCCAGGGCTGTAGACTCCACCGCGCTTCTAGCCACACGTGCGGCAAACAAGGTTCCCCAGCAGAGAAGGCCCTGGAGCAGAGATATCGGGCTCTGGGCTCCCCCTAGAGTGGGAGGGAGGGGAGACGGGGTGCCAGCATCTGCCTGCTTCCCCCAACCTGGTCTTTTCTGAACAGCCAGGTGTGTCCAACTTAGATCCTAGAACACCACATCTGTCCTCAACACATTGGTCTCCCCCAAGAAACACATTCTTTTAAAAAATATTCTTTAGCAATTATACCCCAAACTGAACACACCCTGACTATGGGGGCAAACAGGGACGCACTCGCCCTTTGGCCAGGACAGGGCACTAACACAACGTGTGGTTCCACCACTTTGTGTGAGCCAGTCAGCACATCACTGGCTCGTTGTGAGTGCTGTGTCCATTTTGAGATCGGCATCCAAAGGTACCACGTAATTAGGATATTAGTTAATCCTGGAAGTTAGAGTTGAAGAAGTTCCCCAAGGAACATGAAAGCTTTTGAAGAAAGAATATATCAACTCGCTCTTGCCTATTATTTTTTCCTATAAAATTTAGAACTGAAGCTTCCAGTCACAATCACAATAGAGACAACACTTTTCAATGGAGGTTTTCAAAAAATGGGAGTTTTAGTCTGGAGGATGTCTGCAGTCCTACCTGAGCTCTGGATAACCCTGATGACCTGACTGACTGTCCCGAGCGTCAGTCTTGAGAATGGGCTGTCCCTGTCTGGTTCCTATCCACCCCCAGAGGGGAAGTCTGTGTCCATATCAAAGCCCAGATGAACGAGTACAGGAAAGCTCTGGAGCCTTTGCCACCTTGGCGGGTGGTGAAGGCCCCTTCCATCCACTCGGAGCCTGCACACATCTGCAGCGTCCATGGGGTAGGAGAGCAAGTGACTGCAGCCCTGGACGCTGTCCGGCATGGCTGGTCCATCAGTGAGCCCTAATTGAGGGACTGCTCTCCGACTGATAAGCAGCTTGATTCCTCAGGAAGCAGAAAGTTGATGTGTGTGTAAAGTCGAGAATCCCGAACTTCCAGAACCAGGAGGACCTGGCTGAGGACGTGTCTCATTTGGAGATGGAGAAACTTGTTCTGAAAGAGGTATAACCTGCAGTGGTTAACACCATCTGTCTTTCTCTCTCCAGGAAGGAGGTGCGGGACCTGGGGCTGGTCATCCTGGTGGACGCACGCAAGAGTCCGGCTGCCCCTGCTCTCTCCCAGGCCTTGACAGCACTGCAGGTGAGTCGGGGTCACTCTTGTCCTCGGGGCGCCCGAGCATCTCACAGCCGCGTGGGCTGTGAGGGGCCCCCTCATGCCCCAGGAGCAGCTGATTGCAGCTGCCACCACTCACCCTCAGCTTGAATCCCGGCCTGGGTGAGGGCCTGAGCTTAGAAGTGGAAAGGAGCACAGCAAAGAGCCCCCTCCTGCGTCCATCGGATGGTGAACTCTCTCTGGGTCAGGCACAGTCATTGGGAAGGACTGTCCCGCAGCCCCTAGGTCATCGATGCAAACCTTAAAAGCAGAGCCAGCCAGGGTCAGCCCGTGCAGGCGTTCTGGTCTCAGGGTCTGTCTCAGCAGGAATGAGGACCCCTTCCCTTCACAGCACGTCCATATCTAACATCTGACTCAATCGGGGTGCAGGGGTATCAACATCACCCTCCCAGATGGGGGCAGAACCTTGGAGGGGCGGCCACTGCTCGCTGTCAGGAGCAGAGCCCAGGATTCCAAGAGGCCTCTGGGATGGGGTCAAGGGAAATTGTCTGCCAGGCTTGTGGTTGCCCTAGGAAGACCTGATCCTGGATTCTGGGTCTTGAGTAAAATCCAGAGGGAAATGAGGAGTCCCTGGAATGGGGAGAAGGCCCCCCTGGGATGTTCCCAGGACCCAGTACCAGACGGGAGCCTGAGAATGTGAGTCTCCCTCAGATGTGTGTATACAGGGCCCCCATGTGCCGAGCGCTGTGCTGGGTCTGGGGTCTCAGAGGCCCCGGAAGCCTCTCCTGCTGCCCCCCATCCCTGAGCTAAAATCCTCCCCTCTATTCTGTCTCTGCTGAAGTGCAGGCACGGGTCGCCGTTCTCACCCAGCTTCTTAAGTTTTGGGACGCCAAATGGAGGCTCTTTCAAGGGAAGACTCAGTAAGGTTGGGCGTATCTGAACGCAAGTGTTCCTGATCCTGAGAGCAGAGTCTGGGGAAAGCAAAGTGGAGCCCACGTGGGGCGGGGGCTGGGGGCACCAGGCCGAGAGACTTGGGGAGATTATGAAACCTCCAGGCAGGAGACAGGAGGCCAGGCAGTGGGATGGAGAGAAGGCTGGGTTGGCAGGAGCAGGAAGGCAAGTTAGGGTGCCTGGGCAGTGATGCTGCTCCTCGGCCGACACAGGAATAAAAGGCACGGAGCAGGTTCCGGCGGAGGAAACGAGCCCACACAGAGGCTACTGGCTCACACCTCACTAGTGAGGTCTGCCTTTCAGAGGGATAAACACGCTTATTCTTAGCTTCCACCAAAAAACGTTCACACTGCGTTCATTTAAAGCCCAAGTTTGCTCCACTAACACAGAGGAACAGGTTTGACTTGCCAAAATTCAGTTTCCATAAAATATCTCAGAAGCACATACAGTCACCCTTGGTGTCCACAGGATTCAACCAGCCACGGGTAGAAAGTCCTGTGATGGTTGGGTCTATACTGAACACATACAGACTTTTTCTTGTTGTCATTATTCCCTGAACAATACAGTATAACAACTATTTACATAGCATTTACATTGTATTAGGTATTATAAATAATCTAGAGATGATTTAAGGTACACGAGAGGATGTGTGCAGGTTAGATGCAAATACTACACCATTTTATATAAGGGACTTGAGCATCCATGGATTTTGTTATCCAAAATTGGGCCCTGGAACCAGTCCCCCCACATAGGGAGAGACGACTGTAAATTCCTTATTTGCTCATATCCCCTGCTCTCAGCCAGCTGTTGGGCTCAAAAATCAGAAACCAGGATGTCATCCAGGTTTTATGTTCATATTCTGCTCAAGGCTTGGAAATTCCTTTAAGATTTTAGTCTTTCTTAATTGTATGTAATTTTAAATAACAGTAAAGATTGAGAAATTGCCCAGCTGGAAGTTTTTTAAGAAAATAGGTAGTTGGCTACTTTTCAGAAAGACTTTGAGGGAAGGTCTGTTCAAAGATGGACCAGAGTGTCAGGGACCCCCAAGATTTCCTCAGAGTCCTGTGATTTTGCTAAAAGAGGATTTTTACTCTGAACTTCCTGGTTGGTTGTAATCAGACTGGCAAGAAGATGGCGTCTGTTTATATTTCAGAAATGCGTTTCTCCAGGAGCCTCCGATCAGCAACATCGATCAGCACCCACATAAATAGCAACTTGTAAAACCAGGAGAGAAAAACAACTTTTCTTTGTTTTTGTCTCCAAAACCAAACTAAAATGTCACCATTGATGAAATTATTTTGAAAAATTTAACCATAAGTTTTGATCAAAATCCTAGAAACCCTCTCATCTGCTTCAGCAGCTTGTTCGAAAAAACTGTACAGTCATGTTACAGATCTCTGAGAGCTGCCAAACCCACCTGCGTGTGAGCACCTTCAGACCCCTTCAGATCCCAGGAAGCCCATGGAGCCGGGCACCGAGCCTGGACCTGGCATCACCGAGCACACCCACGATGTGTGCTGGACTTGAGACGCCATCAGGTTCGGGTGCCCACGGTCCTCAGGCGCAGGGCATTTTGGAACGTCTCTCCTGGCCAGTGGTGACCTTGTGGGAAGACTTGATGAGCCTCAGAGGCCCAAACGGAGGCAGCAGCTCACGGCCCACCGATGGAAGCCCGTCTGGAGGGCCCTGCCTGTCTCTCCCCCTCACGGGGACCCCGCCCCTGACACTCACCCTTGTTGGCAGCAGCCCCGCCCTCCTTGGTCAGTGCTGCAGCCCCTCGAGGGCGGTGGGAGCCCCTGCCAAGGCGCCCACACAGGCCATGCCTAGCTCCCACTGTGCAGCCTGTCCCCACGGGCCGCAGAGCCCTCCCCTCTGGTCTCCCTCTGTCTCCTCAGTTTATCCCTCCCCCTCTCACCCTTGGTCCCCCATCGCCTCTGTGTTTCTTCCACCTTTGAGCCCCCGGGTGGTGGTTGGGGGCGTGTGGGGGGACCGTTCCAGTTCTTAAGCCCCATCTGGTGAGCCCGCTGCCCCCTTGCCAGCCCTGCTCATTAGCCCTTAAATCAGAGTCACTCCTTAAATCATTAGCTGCCCTGGAAAAAGTTCTGATGAGCAGAGTTTGACATTTTTTTTCACTGGAAGCCTGGAAATCTGGCAACTTGCTGCAGGACCCAGGACAGCACCATCCCCAGAGAGCAGGTGGGCCCCTTTCACGACCATAAAGGGCTCAGAGAACTGTCATTCTCAGACCAGTGCTGAGAGAGGAGGTGCAGCTCTAGTGCGGGAACGTGGGCAGAAGCCCAGGCAAGAGCAAGTAAGGCCCAGAACCATGTGTGTGACTGGCATGCTAGGGACCAACATTAGCACCCTCCTTCCCTGGAGACGTCCCTGACTCGCCCAGCGTGGCACTGGCCTTGTGGGAATTTATCTGGGTACCAGTAAGAAAGCTGTGCCTGCGGGCCCTGTGGGTACTCTCTCTGCTCTGTAGCATATGCGCGTTGCATGCAGGACTAGGAACAAAGCAGGGCCGTGCAACCAGGAGGACGCTGATGCACGTCTGGGTGCTCCTGGGGCGCTTACGAAGCCAGAGTTAAGGGTCCTGCCTTCAATAGAGAGGAGAGTCGACACTTCCCCACTGCGCGAGAGGCCCAGGAAGGCCCCACCCGTGGGCCCAGAGCCCGTCAGTTGTCTTCTGAGTTCTGGGCGGATTGGACAAAACCAGCCCAGAACCACTGATCTCACCACTGGCGGACTTTCCTTGTAACAACATCCCTCCTCAGCATTTCTCTGTTCAGACTTCCCTTAAATCCTTTGCCACTCGGGTCCCACGGGGGAGACTGAGCCCTGAGTAAGATGCTCCCCCTCCGCCCACCCACACATCTCCCAAAGCAGAAGCTGGGAGGGGGAACGTCTGCAACGCCTTTGACTTTTTATCAAGAGAGAGTCTTCTGAGGAGCCTCATGGCAGCATTTGCGAGAGGAGTCCAGTTCTGTTCCTTGGTCTGACGTAACCATCCCACGATGCTGGGCTCACACCACCCTGAGGCCTCGAGGCTTCGAGTCCTGGGGGCACAGGCCTCACCGAGAAAGCTGCGCCCTGCAGTCCTGCCTTTGGCTGGGCCAACAGCAAGGTCTGTGGTCCAAGGGAGAGGAGTGAAGATGAGCTGCAATTTAAGGGTCATGCTTCCATTTTCAATTTCGTTTCTGAGGAATATACAAAAGTAGTTAAATTTTTTCACAGAGGGCAGAAAAACACAACTCTTTTTCTTAACTGTTTTCACTTATCTGAGAATCAATATTAATTTCCTCTGCAATAGTAACAAACCTTAACAGTAAAAATGCACTCAAATAGGAATATATGAGAAATATAAAACACTTTGCAAAACTGTTTGTAGTTTTAATACATGATAACTCAAAATTTTAGCTAAAAGAAATAGAATACAGTTCTAAAATGGGAAAGCAAGATAGTTTTTTTCTATGGCTTATTTGTTCAACAAGTATTTATGGAATGTCATCCACAAGAAGCCACTCAACAAAAATATAAGTTTATAAGATGAATTTAATATGGATAAGAGGTCATCAGTTAGTTCTGATGCCCATCCAGTAAGTTCATTTCAAAATAGGGGACTAGAGAAAAGCCTAAAATCTGTTTATCACTACAAGAAACTGTTAAAATGTAAACCTTTAAGGAATATGAATGAAGAGGCACTGTGTAAATAAAAGGATTTTATTGCTGAACGATCTGGCCTCAATATAATCTAGCAAACAAAAACACCAAGGAGATTTGATTAAAGTCATAAACATATCAAAAAATAAGATTTTTTCAACCAATAGGGTTGGAACACTTGGACATCTGTATGCAAAAGAAAAGGAAAAAAAGAGAAATCCTCCACACATACCTCATGCTATATGCAAAAATTAACTAAAAATGGATTGTAGACCTACAGGTAAAATCTAAAACTACAAAGCCACCAGAAGAAAACATAGGAGAAAATCTTCATGACCTTGGTTTAGGCAAAGATTTCTTAGCTATGATAATCCATAAAAGAAAAAAATGATAAATTGGACTTCATCAAAATTAAAAACTTCTCCTCGGAAGACACTGTTACTAAAATGAAAATACAAGCCACTGACTGAGAAAATGTTTGCAAAACACACATCTGATGAAGGACTTGTATCCAGAATATATAAAGTCTAAAAACTCAATAATAAGAAAACAAACAACCCAATAAAATATGGGCAAAAGATTTGAACACACTTCACCAAAGAAGATGTATGAATGGCAAATAAGCACATAAAAATATATTCAACATCATTAGTCAAAGGAGAGATGCAACTTAAAACCAAAATGAGATACACACACACACAACAAAACCCAACAATAACAAGTGCTTGGTATTGCTCGTGCAGGTGCAAAAGGGCCACTCTGGAAAACCAGCTGTTTCTTCAGAAGTTAAACATACACTTATCATAGGGCCCAGCAATCCCACTGCTAGACATTTACCCAAAAGAAATGAAAACTTAGGTTCACACAGTGTTTGTAGTGGCTTCATTTATGCTTGCCAAAAACTGGAAACAAACCAAATGTCCTTCAACTGGTGAATGGATGAACAGACCGTGATACCTGCATGCAGTGGAATACTACCGAGCAAAGAAAAGGAATGAACTACAGATATTAACAGCAACATGGATGACCTTCAAATGTACTACACTAAGTGAAAGACGCCAATACTATCTGAGTCCATTTATATGACATCTGGAAAAGGCAAATTTATTGAGAAACAACACAGATCAATGGTTGCCAGGGCCTGGGGGGCTTGACTGCAAAGGAGATGAGGGAATTTGGGGGATGCAAAGCTCTTCTATGTCTTGGTTGTGGTGATGGTTACATGACTATAAGTTGTGTCAAAACTTAGGGAACCATACACTAAAAAGGGTAAATTTTACTATATGTAAATTATAACCAATAAACCTGATTACAATTAAAATTCATAAGGGCAAATAACTTACATTCAGAGCAAAGGCAGCTACATTTTATGCCTTCTAGGTCCTTTGGGAAAATATCAAGTAGGAGCAGCACCACTCAAAATTGGACAATTCTGTTAAGTCAGTGAAGTTAAAAATTAGAAAGCTAATCAATCTCTCTTACTTACTTATTGCAGAACACATCTCCTCCTACGATTCACAGTATTTTGCTCTTGGTGGATAAAGAATCAGCATTTAGGCCTGACAAGGATGCAACAATTCAGGTAATGGTTTTAGACCCTCAGCGTTAGATATGCCTCTGAGTGATGCATAAAATTAAATATTCAGGAACCCAGATGACATGAAATGTATGGAAGAATTTACATGTCAGTTCTGGTTGCATCCATGTATAGGCCTGGAAACCCATCTCCGATCCCTTAAGTTCCTGAAGGAGCCCTACAGAGCACAGTGTCAGAAAACGTTTTAAAATCTGATCTCTCTTCTCCACTTCATTTGTTTTCTTTCCTTCTCTGTCTTCCTGCTCCTTTCTCCTTTATCTGAAAACATCTTTACTTTGCCTCTGTTCTTGAACGATATTTTCATTAGATATAGAATTCTGGCTTTACAGCAGTTTTTTTGTTTGTTTGTTTTTCCAGCACCTTAAAGGTGTTACTCTTTGTCTTCTGGCCTCCATAGTCTCTGAGGAAAAGGTCATAGTAATTCAAATAAGTGTTCATCTGTAGGAAACTTGTCATTTTCCTCTGCCTACTTCCAAGATTTTCTCTTTCTTTTCAGTAAATTGACTATAATGTGAGTAGGTATAGTTTTCTTCATATTTATCCTGCTAGGTTTAGCTGCACTTTTTGAATTTTTAAATTTATATGTATCACCAAATTTAGGAAGTTTTCAGTCATTATTTCTTGAAATGTTTTTTCTGCCTCATTCTCTCCTCTCTAGGACTTCAATTACACACTGTTATTGTCCTATAGGTTTTTAAGAATCTGTTATTTTTTCCTCTGTCTTCTTCAGATCAGATTGTTTCTATTGATCTGTCTTCAAGATCACTGACCCCACACTCTGTCATCTCCATTCAGCTATTAAGCCCATCTGTCGAATTTTTCAGTTCAGACATTGTGTTTTTCAGCTATAAAATTTCCACAGGGTTTTAAAATATATTTTCTGTATCTCTTCTGAGAAACCCTATCCTCTCATTAGCTGCAGGTATTTTTCCTTTACACCGTTGAGTGTAGTTATAATGGCGCTTTAAAGTCCTTGTCTAATAATCCCATCTGGGTTATCTCCAGTTGACCTCTGTTGGTTGTCTTTTCCCTTGAGAATGAGTCACATTTTCCTGAATCTTTATGGGTCAAGTAATTTTGGATTACACTCTGGACGTTGCAAATATTCTGTTCTAGAGACTCTGGATCCTGTTACAAACCTCCACAGAGTACCATTTTAACTGCATTTAGGTTGGTTAGACTCTGAGTGAAAACTATACCCTGTGTTGGTCCAGTTCAGTTCTTTTTGCCTTCAGCTGCTCAGAGGCTTCCCCTTGCATGGTTTAGGGTCAGCTAGAGTCCTGGGCAGAGCTCACGCACAATTGGATCTCCCTTTCCCCAGCTTTCTCCCTCGTGGGAATTGATCTTCACTTTCCACCCTGGCTCTGTCCTCCAATTCTTCAGGCCAGAAAGATGCCCATTTTCTATCAGAGCTGCAGCCATTCCAGTTTCACCACATTGGCAGCCTTGCCTTCAGGCCAAAGCCACATAAACGGGCAGCTCCCCCGGCTGGTCCCTTCATCCAAGGTTCACTTTCCCTCCACAGTAAGCCTGGCTCGGTTTGCCCTCTAGAGCTCTCAGATAGTTGTCATTCTGCTTGGTCCTGAGAAGGGTTGACTTTGCTGTCCCAGGAGCAGCACATCCTGGACATCCCTTCCCCTTCCTCTTCCTGCCCTTTTCTTCTCCCCTTATCTTGCCCTCTTTTCTTTCCCGATTTTCCCATTTCTTTGTCTTTCCTTAATTAGGCCTTTCCCTCCTTTCTCTCTCCTTTCACTTCTTCTCACCTTCATTCCTGTCCCCAACCACATCAGTCCGTTAGAGCTACCAGCAACGCAGGATAGCTGAACCCCAAACTGCCTCTCAATCCTCTCCACCCTGTAGTAGCAGTTCTCCCAGGGACGAGCTGTCACAGTGGTTTTCTCTGAGAGTTGCATCTGTGGCCGTAACCAGTGAACGCCTCTCCTTGGCAGTGTGAGGTGGTGGGCTCCCTGAAGGCCCTGCACAAGCTCGTGGACAACTCCCAGCTAACCGCAGACCTCGAGGGCTCCTTTCCCTATAGCCACAGTGACTGGATCTGCTTCCGGAGGGTAAGTGCAACTCACAGCTGCTGCGGGTGCCACAGTATCCTGGGCTTCTCCTCATTTGGGTGTTTTCACTCAAATCTGAAAAGGGCATCGCCACCCCATCCCACGCCTGTCATAGTGGCCATTCAGTCTGTGTCTGGACAACACGCTGTGGCAGCTTGAGAATGCTGCTGGAATCCAGCCCTAGGTGGGGAAGGCGCTGCTCCCGGATGCTTCTGTGGACACCCACAGGTCCCTGAGGGATACCGCAACAGGCTTTACAACCTGAGATGGTTTAAATGTGGGAACTCACAGCTGCTTACTCCAGCGTCTGATGGGACGTGTCTTTATCCTCTCCTCTCCCTCAAACCACACAGAAGGTGGAGCCCTTCACCACAAACTGCGAGGATGCCATTGTTTTTCTACAAAATTCAGTCCGCTCCTTGAATGCCCACAGGCCCCTCAGCACAGCACAGGTAGGTTCCTGTGTGTTTTATTTTATTTGACAGATAGGTGGGAACATAGAGGTTTAGCCAAAACTTGAAAATAAATGTTTGGTTTCACCAGCATCTGTAGCAGAGATTTTCAGACCCCTTTGGATTTGTAAATCCCTTTTGATTAGCAAATGACTTCGAAAAGATCACTTCCTACCCCTTGTGACCAAAAAAAATCCCACCCTGCCCAGAAGAGAATCACCACTACATTTGCTGATATGCCAACAAGGCAGAATAATTGCCGTTAGCAGCGAGTAATTCAAACATGACACAGAAACGGACTGGCCGGAGGGACCTGGAGCCTGGAGACTGGGGCCTGGAGGCGCCGCAGGGGTGCCCAGGGTGCGCAGGCAGGATCTGCACGTCCCTGTCTGAAACCAAGTTCTCCTCCTGCTGTTGAGGTTTAAGCTTCCCTCTTGTTTCCTGCCTGCGGTCTCACCCTCAGACTTCCCTTCCCTTGGGCAAGAGCACCTGGAACCCTGCTGCCTCACTGCAGGACTGGGTGCCAAGTGTGGGTGCAGCCATCCTGCCACGCGCTTGGCTTGATTGATACAAGCAGGAATGCGGGTCACACCTCACATGCCTACCTAGCGTGAGACTGGGGAGGACCTGCCCTGGAGAAGGGGGTTCTACGCACATTGCTCCCACACATGCAGGAGGTCATGGAGTCAATCAGCAAGCACAAGGCGACTATGAAGCGTGTCCTGGAAGACACCCTGCTGGTCGCCCTCCGGCTGGAAGGTGGCACCGTGCTGGCACGGCTGAGGAGGGAGGAGCATGGCACCAGTGAAGACTGCCGGTGAGTGTCGCGCTGGGGCAGCCCATCCCAGGGGTGACACACAGAGCTCTGCCCTGGTCAGGGGAGGCCCGTCTCAGTCACATGCAGCGTCTCCAAGGAGCCCAAACCTCTGTTCCTTCTGACGGCCGCTTCCACTGGACCAGAGCCTGTCTGCATTCGTGTACTCCGGGGAAGAACTAGCAGGTTCCTTGGAGTGCTTATGTGGAAGACAACACCCGCCACAACAGGATTCATCAGTTGGAGGTCCTGACCGAATGCTTCTTCATCTAATGCTGTCCCAGGGCGCTGCGTCCACCCACCTACACTTCCCTGCCACCTCCGAGGTGCCTGCACCCATGGCCGGAGGGTGTCACGGCTCACAGGCTCCTGCTCTGGCTGTGGGCCTCCTCTGGGGCTTCCATTCTGTCAGACATGAGGACGTACAAAGGGTGCAGCTGTGTTTTTAACCCGATCATCACCAACAATGTGTTGAATGGTGAAGAATGTCTTCAGGAGACCGTCTGTGAACAAACCAGTGATCAGGATGCCACACCCGACAGCTGCCTTCTCTTTCCAGAGACACCATCGAGGCCGCCTCCAGGCTGTACAACCAACTGGACGAAGAGGTCCATAGGCTCGTCCTCACCTCCAACCGGTGTCTGCAGGAGCTGGAGAATCTGCGAGAACTGAGGATGCTCGAGGAGGGAGGTGACCGGTCAGTGCTCCAGGAGGGAGGTGACCAGGTCAGTGCTCGAGGAGGGAGGTGACCGGGTCGGTGCTCGAGGAGGGAGGTGACCGGGTCGGTGCTCGAGGAAGGAGGTGACCGGGTCGGTGCTCCGGGAGGGTGGTGACCGGGTCGGTGCTCCGGGAGGGAGGTGACCGGGTCGGTGCTCCGGGAGGGAGGTGACCGGGTCGGTGCTCGAGGAGGGAGGTGACCGGGTCGGTGCTCCAGGAGGGAGGTGACCGGTCAGTGCTCCAGGAGGGAGGTGACCGGGTCAGTGCTCCAGGAGGGAGGTGACCGGTCAGTGATCGAGGAAGGAGGTGACCAGGTCAGTGCTCCAGGAGGGAGGTGACCGGTCAGTGCTCCAGGAGGGAGGTGACTGGTCAGTGATCAAGGAAGGAGGTTACTGGGTCAGTGCTCTAGTCAGTAGAGCCAAAAGAGAAAAATATTTTGAAACTCTGCCACCTGAAATAACTAGTGTTAACACTCAATATAATACAATCCAGACTTTTGTCCATATACATATGAATATAAACGCTTTTCAAAAGCTTGTACATATTTTTAAGTAAAACTCTTGTTATTTTATGAACCACTATTTCCATGTAAATGAAGGTGGGGCCAGTAACCTGCGCACAGCCAGCAGTGTAGGACGAGGTGAAGAACGGCTGGAGGACATCTCTGGATCCTCGTCTGGCCTCTGCATCCCTTGAGTTGTCAAATGACCTTCAGGGTGACCAGGGTGGGAAGATCCCCACCGCCAAGGCGTCCAGCAGGTGTGGTGGAGTGTGGATGCTCCGCATCTTCCCCACCTTGGTCCTCCCACGACCAACCCTAGCTCCCAGTCATGAGCCAGCGGGGGACCGGGTGGTGGGAGATGATGACCCGGCTCATCCAGGCTGCAGGGCAGGGGAGCAGGAGCCATCAGCACCTCCAGGGCAAGTACTGACAAGAGCCTGAGCCAGCTCACCCTGTCCCTCGTGGTGGCAGCCTGAGCGTGGCTGGGACACCCCAACCTGGAGAGGCTGCCCTGCCTGGGGGCACATCTGTCCTGGGGGACATCCTGTGGGGTCTTCTCCTTCTCCATCCTGTGGAGTCTCCTTCTCTATCCTGTGGGATCTCCTCCTCCACCCTGTGGGGTCTTCTTCTCCATCCTGTGGGGTCTCCTCTCTGTCCTGTGGGGTCCCCTTCTCAGTCCTGTGGGGTCCCCTTCTCAGTCCTGTGGGGTCTCCTTCTCCATCCTGTGGGGTCTCCTTCTCCATCCTGTAGTGTCTCCTCCTCCATCCTATAGGGTCTCCTCCATCCTGTGGAGTCTCCTTCTCCATCCTGTGGGGTCTCCTTCTCCATCCTGTGGGGTCTCCTCCTCCTCCATCCTGTGGGGTCTCTTCTCTGTCCTGTGGGGTCTCCTCCTCCATCCTGTGGGGTCTCCTCCTCCTCCATCCTGTGGGGTCTTCTTCTCCATCCTGTGGGATCTCCTCTCTGTCTTGTGGGGTCTCCTATTTCCCATACTCCAAGTCTTCCTCCTTCTTCATTTTTCCATTGTTTTGAGCAGATGATCCTCCAGCACTTTCCAGAGAAACAGATGGTGGGATGAAAATTTTTGAGACCTTGCGTATCTGACAATGTCGTTTTCCGCCTTCACCTTTCATGGTGGTCAATTTCTCTCCCGAAGTTTGGAGGCACCATTTCATAGCCTTTAGCTTCACACACTGTAGTTCAGAAGGCCTTGTCCACTCTGCCCTTGACCTTGGTCTGTGCCCTGTTTCTTCTCCCTGGACGCTTGTACACCTCTGGTCTCCTCAGGCGCTTCACCACGGGGAGCGGAGGGCTGGTGTCTCCTCCTGTGATATCGCATCGCTCTGCCCTGGAATCTCTTGGTCTGTCTTCGATGAGCTCTCCCATTTCCTAGAATTCCACACTTCCTGCTGGTTCAATAATTTCTCTCCTGTTCTAGTTTCCACACCGTTGGTTTTTTGTTCTCCTTTCACTGTCTGTTTTCTCAACTTTATCTTCTAACCCTTTTGAATGTTTTGCTTCTGCTGTAAATTTTTAATTTCCATGGAATTTTGTTTGTTTTCTGAATGTCCCTTCCTTACAGCAGCCTGCCTTGCTCTTTGCTAGAATACTGATCCTGGTGAAGTCTGCACAGCCTCTGTCCCCTCCTAGGGGGTTTTCTGCAGGTTTGCTTTGGCTGCTGTTTTTCATGCTAGAGGCTTTCCTGGCAATCCTGAGGTCAGAGTGGGAACGGAGCCAGTGGAGGCTCATGAGGGCAGTGACCTGTCAGGAGGGCAGCTGGTCAGATCCTCCAGAAATGACTCCTCTGATCCCGCCTGGAGGGGAGACTCAGTGTCCGCCTGGCCCCTGCCTGCCTCACCCTCCCCAGAGAGCACCCCAACGCCCCCACTTCTCCACAGGCCCCCAAAGTCTCCTTCCCTCTCCTCGGCTTCGCCACCTGCTCAGGACTCCCCGAGGCCCTCCCACGGCCCCTCCCCCCCAGCATCTCTGCTCTCCCCATTCTTCGTACCTTAGAAGAACTTCAGGAGGGACCAGAATTAGACGTCTTACTCTGCCATCTTCACCCAAAACTAAATACGTTTTAACCTAAAAAGGGGATCATTCTATATAGAGTGTGTTTAATTTTATTTTTAACCTAAGAAGCGTATGAACATTATGGAAGAATTAGAAGAGAAATAGGTTTTTGCAGAAGTGAGAGCATGCTGCACGCAGCTGCCTGTGTCGGCTTTGTCTAGGGGGCGCTGTGAGCCCAGCCCCTCACGGGCCACCCCTTGTGGGTTCACATGGTTCCTGCCGAGTCTCCCGGGCCATGCCCTACTGTTTGCTATTACTCGTCAATACGGCTACGTCGTTCACACTCTGTGATTGTTTGCTCTGGATGAATGCCAGGCTTGGGATTTGAGGTTTTACACATTTGCCAACAGCTCTGCAAACAGCCCCCAACCAGATTCTGGGCAGCAGCCTTTGAGACCCCGCCTCCTCGCACCTCTAGTGTCTGCCCATCTGAGGGTGAAAGTCAAGTGTCTCGTCCACTTTTGGATTTTTATGCCACAGTTGAACTTGTTCTACATACACTTATTGGTTGTTTTTATTTATTCTCTAATAAACGGCTTGTTCATGCACTTGGCCAGGGTCTCGATGTTTGTGACAGTCTCACCATCTTACTCCTACCGACCCTTGCATATTTGCAGAAATTCCCCCAGTTTATTTGTCCTTTAACTTTGCTCCTGATTTAAATGGCCTTTTCAACCTTAGGGTTACAGAACGACAAATATATTCCATCATGAGACTTTTACAGTTTGAATTTCTCCATTTAAATCTTCAAACCAAATAGAATGTGTTTTTTATGAGTCTGGAGGCCTCCCCTCTGCTGCCGCCTCCTCCTGTCCTTGGCGGTTCCGAGACTGCGGTGCTTACTTGTAAAAATCTCGATTTGATGTTTTTCTCCCTGACTCTGTCCACAAAGAGTGTATACTGCGGTCTCTCTCCTCTGCCCATACATGTGAGATCACTAAATACAATCTTGTGGTCATAGGTCCAGCCCAATCTCTCTGTTTTTAATAACAAATTTCTTCCTGGGCGCCTGGCAACCAGGTGTCCTGGTGTTGCTATCTGATGAGAGTGAAGGGTTGACCTCTGTCCTGTTCACTACGTACCCAGTGACATTGCCACAGGATTTGTGTCTGAAATGAGAAGCTTGTCACGCTGCATGGGTGCCCTCGGCCCCTCTGTCTCTCCTGGGCAGCCCCCGAGTGTCCACACACCACCAGCGTGAAGAATATTTCTGGGGTATGTTTAGCATAGTAACAAGTTTCAAAACTGAAAGCTCTGGATTCATTTTGTGATGGTCTTAATTTCCATTTCCAGACAATGAAAATAGTTATAAACTTGAGCCACGGAGATTTGTGGTCACCCCCCCTAACCAGAGCACGTGATTCCCATCCACAGATTGTAAAAGGCATCCCACCATGTATTCAGGACGAGGCATGTGGTCTAAATGAACCAGAGGAACCAGCCCCTAAGTGGCATGTGGTGCCTCCTTCGTCCTCCACAGTCTTAGAGCTGGGGTCCTTCACACGTTTAAAAGTAAAACCTTCTTCTCCTACGTAGATCAAATCATGGTTTGAAGAAAAACGAGAGGAATTCCTGGGCCCTTTGGAGCTGCTGTCTCTTGAGAACGTGCAGCAGCGGCAGCAGGAGCCCCAGGCCTTGCAGGAGAGGCTGACGGTGGGTACACACAGACACGGGCCTGGAGACACAGGCTAAATGCTGCTGGGACTGACCGTTTGTTCCTTGGCTACAGCAACATTGTCAGAAAGGACTACAGCTGACGGAAGAGCACAACTCACAAGACGCAGAGGGCATGGTCCAGGACTTCAGACGGTGTCAGAGCGCCATGGCTGGCCAGGCTGAGTGGAGGGACGGAGAGCTGGCCAGTTGGGCCCACCCGTCCGAGTTCTATGAGTCGGTAAGAGACCCAGGGGAGTCCCTCTGGGGATCCGCCCGCTGCCTGTGCTCCTGTCCGGTGCAGGTGTTCAGTGAGCGCCGCCCCCATGTGGGTCTGCACGGCCGAGCTCTGGGACAGCTAGCCAGTCCTCCCGTCAGAGCACACCCCAGGCTCTCAGTAGGCACGTGAGGAGTTTATTTATTGTATGAAATAGATGGGCCAAATGGACGCATGGACTTTTCTGTATGTTGACCAGCTCAGTTATGAAGTCCACGCACTGCCCAAGACCCCAGAACCGTCACAGCAGCCCAGCACACACCTGCGAGCCTGCCAGCACCCTCGAACTGCCTGGCCCTTAGGGCCGCCAGGGCCAGAGCAAGGAGCACAGCCCCCCGTGAGGGAATCCCAGGGCAGGCCAGGCCAGGCCACGGGTAGGAATTCTCTGCCCTGCTGTCACGGCCTCTCAGGCTCCTACACCAGGAAGACACGTGGAATAACTGATTCCACCAACTCTCCAGCCCTGATGTCCCACGGTCCTGGGATGTCGCCCCCCGGGTGCCGTCGCGGGGTGTGGAGGGTACAGACCCCATTGGCCCAGACACACAATCGTCTTGTGTGCCCTTTGGGAGAGTCTGGCCAGAGGTGCCCTTATGGGCAGAGGGGTCTTCCTCTCACTCTGGCCATCTGGCGCAGCCTAGTCCTTGGTTTGGGCGACCTGAATAGCAGAACGAGTGTGACCTGAGTTCACTCGAGCCGCTCACTGGCCACATGGCCTTGGGCGGGGCCTGCCAAGGCCATTGCAGCCCGGCCGGTCCTTTGCTGCCCTGACCAGCACCCCCCTCTGCTGCGCAGGTGAACAGGTGGATGCTGCGGGGCAGCGAGTGCCTGGAACCCCGGGGCCCAGAGCTGGTTGCTAAGTGTTTGCCGGAGGCTGTGGAAGCGGCTTCAAAGAGCTTCCCCAGGGCGAGCGTGGCGGTGCCGGGCCTGGGCGGCCAGCGGGTGCTGGGGCAGTGGCTCGCCTTTGGGATGCAGTGCCAGCAGACCCCACTCCACTCACAGGAGGCCCTTCCTGGGACCGCCCTGGGCCCTGCTGTCCCCCTTCTGGGCCGGAGCCCCCTGAAGCATAAGCTTGCCCAGGGGACCAAGGGGAGGCACCATGAGCCACCCTGGGTCCCCCTTACTGACCCCAAGGGCCGAGCTGGGGAGTGGGCCCAACTGCTGCCCAGCCTCCCTGGACAGGCTGCTCTGTGTGGTCAGGAGAGTAAGCACCTGAGCCCAGGTGTGCCCACCCCGGACAGCAGCTCCCCCTGCTCCTCTGAGTCCATCCAGACATCTGCTGGCCACCCCAGGAAACATCCCCTGAAGAAAATTATGAAGAAAACACAAAACTTCGAGATTCCACAGCTTAACAGTGACTCCAGGGACTCCCGCTGGCCAGGCCACACTGGGGCCTTCATCAAAGGCCTGGAGGTGACCAGCACTGTGGCCTCAGAGAAGAAGCCCCCACTGAGGCCATGTGCTGAGAGCCCCTTGGTCACTCGGAACCGGAGTCTGTCCTCTCCCTCCAGGATCCAGTCCACCAAGGAGGATGGGAGGAGGCGAGCAGGAAGGTGAGGTGGACACCCCTCCAGCCTTTGGGTCTAGCGGTCAGTGGGGATCTAGAAACCCACAGCCATTCAGTGCACTTCTACAAAGTAGAATACCCACAGACATCCCTCCAGGCCCACCCTGTCCTGTCCAGGCTGGAACAGACTTGTGTTTGATTTTAGGCGAGATGTTAGTCACATCCCATGTCCCATGTTTGTAACCGAGTCATTGACAATCACTTCCTTTTTCGTGGTGTGTGGTAACCTAGCCCACCTGCTCTGAAGGCTAAACCACCAACTCTGGTCATTTGGAGCCCATTTACAGAAAGTTACAGTAAGCAAATCAAGCCCACAATATGAAGAAATTACGTTAAAAATGGCTTTTCTAAAAAAAAAAGTCTGTACGTGTTGAGGTAAGAAGTGTGTGCCCATGTATTGCCCATTTTAATTTGTTAAATCTTGAAGATGTTTGTAAAAAGATACTTTTTATTAGTTGTTTGGATAGAAAGTGGGCAAGAACTCTGCCCACCCCAATGACAGGTAATGGCACTTTCCTGGTATCTCCACAGCTGGCCTCGTGGGCTGTTGTCCCTTTTTTTTTCAATTTTATTGAGGTCATAATAGTTTATAACACTGTGAAATTTCAGTCGTACATTACTATTTGTCAGTCACGATACATCTATGCCCCTTACCCCTTCTGCCCTCCGCAACCCCATTCCCTCTGGTAACCACTAATCTGTTCTCTTTGTCTGTGTGTTTGTTTATCTTCCACATATGAGTGAAATCATACGGTATTTGTCTTTCTCTGTCTGGCTTATCTCACTTAACATAATACCCTCAAGGTCCATCCATGTTGTTGCGAATGGGACGATTTTGTCTTTTTATGGCTGAGTAGTATTCCATTGTATATGTACACCACATCTTTATCCATTCACTTGGGCACTTGGGTTGCTTCCACGTCTTGGCTATTGAATAACGCTGCATGTTGTCCCTTTTACAGTGAGCGGCATGGGCTGGAGGTGGTACATCCTCCTAGTTTTCTTTGCTTCTTGGGCTGGTGGATGGACTTCCTCCTTGTGCAGAGCACAGAGAGGGTTACAAAATACTCTTCTGAAACACACCTTTAAGTTTCAAAACCTCGAGCAGTTACAATGTGCCTTGTTAAAGGTGGAACTTCAGGTAGAACCGAGGTTTCATTTTCACATGACAGGAGCAGCTGGATGTATTTCCCAGTGGGCTAGAATCCATGGGAAGGCGGCAGGGAGAAATGCGGGTCTGTGAACTGCCTTCCAGCCCCATAAGCTCATTTTGAATGTTTTGGGGGCCACAGAATGCAGGGATGGGGGCGTCCACTCACCAAGAGCCGCCCCTGGTCCCTCAGAGTGGATGTCCTGAGTCCAGAGGAAGCAGGTTTGGGAAGCCATCCTGTCTTCACCCCTGGGGACAGGTCCCTCCTCCTGCCATTCACAGGCCACAGAGCCACCAACCCAAGCGCTGGCACCAGGGACCCCATGGCGCACCCAGAGAGGGAGTGGGAAGGGAGCATTAAACCAACCCCACCTTCCACAAATACCCAGACCTTCTGCCAGTTGTCCAGGGAGGTCCTCTCACTTGGCCAGCAGTCATTTCCCTGGAAATTTCTAGCCATTATGTCCTCATGAGTCAATTTCCATTTAATTTGGTCCAAATCCCCAGACCATTCTAGTTTTTATTTTGTTTCCAAATATTTAGGACACTTGTTTCTGTGGGTGTTGACAGGAGTGGTGCTCCACGGCCCGGGCTACGGGGGCACTGGGGGCACCTCAGCCAGCACTGCCGCCGAGGGCTCCCAGCTCCCAACCAGCCAGAAGGTGCCATCTCCCCAGAAACAAGAGTGTTTGTGAAATCTGTGATGCGGGCATGAGAAGGGACAGGTTCCCCAGGTCTGCTGCAGACGGGTGGTACTCAGCCGCATTCTGGCCACAGGCGTATTTCCTGTCACTAGTTGCTTTTAATTTTTTTCCAATTTAAAAAAGCAAGTAAATACAAATAATGGCATAAAAGTCTGCCAACCCCCATTAGTGTCATCAGGATTGGGTAATTTAAGAAAATTGCAGGGGGGATGCTATCAAATAGGAAGAAAAGTCATTATCAGCAGGGTGGGCCCGTTCACCAGTAGACTCTTCTTGTTTCATGCAACAAGTTTCTTTCTCGTGTCATCCCTCCACTGTGTTTCTCGTCTTTTCTTATTCCTGTACATCACAGGGACAGCTCCAGGTAGCAGGGAGAGGAGGACTCGAGGTACGGAGCGTACTGGAAGTGCTTCCTTGCTGAAGACAGAAAACTTAGTTGGAAAGATTCTTATTTATCGTGCATCTCCTGTCCATGATAAGCACGTTTATTCCTCCAGATGCTCAGTCTGTTTGTTTCTGTATGAGGCAGGAACCACGCTGATGAAGCGTCTCGTGGGGCCCAGCGCAAGGCCCTGGCCTGCGGCGGCCTGAGTTTCCCCCCGGCTCTCTGTCTTCCAGCAACCGACTGCAGCACGTAATGGCCGAGATGATTTCCACGGAGAGGGAGTATGTTAGGTCCTTAGGATATGTCATCGACAACTATTTTCCAGAAATGGAAAGAATGGACCTGCCCCAGGACCTGCGAGGGAAGCGCAGCATCATTTTTGGGAACTTGGAGAAGCTCCACGACTTCCACTGCCAGCACTTCCTCAACGAGCTGGAACACTGCCGGCACTGCCCGTGGGCGGTGGGCCGCGGGTTCCTGAGACACGTGAGTCCCTCCCGGGCGCTGGGTCCACACAAAGGACCCTGGTGTGGTGGGCGGAGGTGACATCAGCCCAGGTCGCCCTCTGAGAGGCCGGGGGTCTGAGTGCCCACGTTTCAAGCGATTCGGGTTGCTGCCATCCAGGCTTAGGAAATTCGTCCCTCATGGTACATTAAGACCCGTCAATAAACAGACGCATGTGGGTGTGACAGCCCTGGACATTCTATTCGCAGTGTCGCCTGACGGCACCCTTGTCAAGAGCCACGTGGCACTGAGGGGCTTCACCCACATCCTCATACTTAACTCTGTCATCGACCCCACTCCCTTACCACTCAAGGCTAATCAGCCAAAAGCAGCTCCCAAAAGCAGTTTGCTTCCTGCACCTAGGAAGCCCGCCTGGTCCCCTTCACAACCCTCCTGCCGCAGCCCGCCAGCTCCCCTTCCACACGGACCCCAGGACCAGCCTGATGGGATTTCAACAGAGGCACCTGGGATGAGCAGATTGACTTGAGGAGAGTGGCTCTCTGTTTGATGAGTCTCTTCTCAACCATGAATATGGAACATTCCCCTACTGGGGTCTTTAATAAAATTCTTAATTCACTCTGAAAATTCTTTAAGTCGTTACCGAGCACTGTTCTGGGCTTTGGGGACCCAAGTGCTTCTATGCTATGGGCAGATGAAACATTATTAAATTAATCGTTATTATCATCATTATTAAGATGAGCATTATTAAATGTAAATTACCACAACAAAAACACCCGTGGGTGAAAGAAATCTCGTGTGTTGTGTCTGTTCAGCTATTTCTTAAAAGGCGCTTTTAGCCATAAAGTGCAACTTCTGTATTGTTTTATGTCGACACTAACAGTGAGAATTTTAAACGTTTAGACACTTTGGTTCTTGGCCGTTAATGAATATTTCTAACGCTCCCCATGCTCCTTCCCAGCCCTGCCCTGTGAGTGCTCCCTCCTCCCTCTTCCCCAAACTCTGTACTCTAAAGACCCTTCTAGAACTCTGGCGTGGACCCCTGGGAGCTCCCACCGTGTTTGGGAAGCTGAGAGTCTTGAATGCAGCACCATCTCCCCTTCTCCTGACACGGTGAGAACTGGCCTGGAGGGCGGGGCAGCTGCGCCGACTCAGGGCGTGCCCTCCCCTTCTGCAGGAAAAGCAGTTTGGCATGTACGCGCTCTACAGCAAGAACAAGCCCCAGTCGGACGCCCTGCTCTGCGGCCGCGGCAACGCTTTCTTCAAGGTCAGCCCCCACCCCGCGAGCCGCGCCGATCCAGCCCGGCCCTAGCTGACTCTCTCGCCTGGCCCTTGCAGGACAAGCAGCGGAAGCTGGGCGACAAGATGGACCTGGCCTCCTACCTGCTGAAACCTGTGCAGCGCCTGGGCAAGTACGCGCTGCTGCTGCAGGACCTGGTCAGGGAGGCTGGCCGCTGCCCCGCCCGCGAGCAGGAGCTGGGCGAGCTGCAGGCCGCCGAGGACATGGTCCGCTTCCAGCTGCGCCATGGCAACGATCTGCTGGCCACGGATGCCGTCCGCGGCTGCGACGTAAGTGCTCCAGGCCCTGACGGCCGTTCCAGGGGAAAGACATGGCCTGGTCAGTACACACACCTTGCCTTCAGGGGAGTCCCCACCCAGAGGGGCAGGAGGGCAAGAGAACTCCACAGGGAGGGGGCTCCCTGTCCAGGTGATTGGGGTGTGAAAGGCAGGCAGGCTCTAAATGATAAAGATCTGCTTATCGGGCTATTTTAATACAACTGGATGCATGAAAATTAGAGCTTTGGGCCTAAGCTACGGGCTCACAGGCCGGCGTTGGCTCTCCATGTGTGGCTGGCCTCTCTGCTCTCTGGAGGAGCTGAGGCCCGCGTCCACGATGCCCCCACCCCCGCAGCGGCCTGGCTGGACCAGCACAGGCAGGAAGAGGAGACCTCCCTCTCAGGCAGGACTCCTGGCTTTAATGGTCGGGAGAAAGTGCAGGTGCCTTGCTAAGAACTGCATTCAGAGTTTCACAAGCAAGAAACCAAGCGGGGGCCCTTCTGACCGCCGTGGCTGCACAGTGACCCTGTGACTCGAGGCTCACAATCCGCCACCCCGCGTGGATCATCCTTCCACTGACCTGCCTGTGAGGGGACCGCACACCCCCTGACCCCGGACGCCCTGCACAGTGAACTGACTGGTGTGTGGGGCTTGGCTGAGGTTCTGCCCCTGGGACTGGGTGACAGCCAAAATGGGCCAGCTTTGCAGAAGTTGGCTCCCCATCACCCCACCCTGCCCTTTCACCCACATGGGCTTGAAAGTGGGGCCCCACATCAGCTGGAGAAGGCAGGCCTGTGGCGGGTCCCAGTCCCGCGTGTCTGTGATGCTGTGGCCACAGCCAGAGATAGAGTCAGGCACAAAGGATAGGTCTCCTCGGTCACTACCATGGCAGTGGACAGCCATAGAGTGCTCAGGCTACCCCAGCATCTTCATCCCCAGAACCCACAGGCCCCCTCAAGCCCTCTTTGGTGAGCTCAGCTAAGTGATTTGGGATGCCAGGGATTAAACCAGCTGCTCTCAGGCGTCACCCAGGTCAGGGCCTGCAGGGGTCGGAAGGTTGTGGGAGGGACCCGCCAGTGGTGTCGGTCATTCGGCACACATCCCACAAAAGGAGCACAGCCTGGCCAGGGCGTGGCAGCTACATCCTCCCGTAGCCATTGGCCCATACCACAGCTTGGAGGGTTTCTCTGGGTCAAGGGAATGGCTCAGGGGTGGAATCCATAATGCGACTGTGAATGAGACTATCACCACATCAACAAGGGGGCTCCCTCAAAATGAACAAAAGAGGGGCCAGCCCTGTGGCGTAGTGGTGAAGTGCGTGCACTCCGCGGCTGGCCGCCCGGGTTCAGATCCCGGGCACGTACCAATGCACCACTTGTCAGGCCATGCTGTGGCAGCGTCCCA